CTCTTCTTCTTCTTCTTCTTTTTTTCAATTTAATTTAATGTTTTTAATGCACATCGCTTTGTACTGAAATTTAAATTAAAAAAAAAAAGAAAAAAAAAGCGACGTTAATTTAAAAATAATAAAACATGAAATTAAAAACACATTACTCTAGAAGTAAATTTTTTTCTGGCTTTACATCGTTTAAATATTTTCACATTTTTTCCGTACGTAGTTATGGACCAAATCTTTGTTCACATGTTTTGAACTTATTTTGATTGTCTTGCTCTATATTAACAGACTAACAATTCTGTACATTTATAATACAATAATTAATTTTGTAAATGTAATTTATCTGTAAGATATTCAAATTTATGAACATTTTATTATAATGCTGACATGTACTATAATTACACGGTATGGCCTATTAAAATCTTTGAATCTGAGATTTTTTTTTAAATAAGTTTACTGAATATAAAAATAATCAGTGAAGGATACGGTTATTATTAAAAAAATTGGGTTAATGTTTTTTTATTGTTATAAAAGTTTTAATAATTCAATAAAATGATAGACCGCTAGTTGGTCTACAAATAAATTAAGATAACGGTATATTGATTCAATAAAAAATCTTGTGAGATCTAATATACTGATATTTCCATTATGATTAATATGAAAATATTTTTATATGTTAATTATATTTCGATAAACACTTCGTATAAGAATGGTTTATTATATATGCACGTTGCGTGAATAATGTTGTCCGCTTTCGGATCTTTTGTTTTTTGAAAATATATTTACCTATTACGAACTATTTAATATGTAACAAATTATATTCATATGTGTGTGTGTGTGTATATATTCATATGGGACAAATATGTTAAATATGTTAGTTTGTAATTTTACATTGCACCGAACAAGGTGACGAAACTGTTCATACAAGTTAAATTTTACTTTCTAGATCCGTAGCTACACGCATAATACATGAATGTTGAATTTAAAAAGTCCACGTTTTCATTACCATGAATTGTGAAAAATTTTAAGTATAAACTTTTTAAAACTCTGTGATCCGAATGACGTTGTAATACAATTGCTAAACCGAGCCACGTTCAAGCAGAACCATTAACTTGAGATAGAACAGTTTTTGATAGAAGTGTAATTAACGTTAAACGAGTGATCGATATCGCATATCACATTGTTAACAATGGGCATCCATTGTGACGATAAAAAGCGTACAATTGGCCTGGGATCAGATGAAGTCAGATGAAGAAAAAAGGAGAAGTGTAATAGGACGAAAATAGTGAAGGTAAATATAAATATCCTGGCCGAATCGTCAGTTTCACTCGAGAAGGAGGGGAGGACGGGCGCCGAGGTCAGGGTGGCCTGCGCCGAGGACAGGGTCGTGGAACGCGCTGAAGAAACATCAGCGGAGGCTGATGACGAAGAGGACGACGACCCCTATGTCTACGACGATGATCTGCCGAGGACCGAAGCCGAGGTGCACCAGGCCACGGGAATGCTCCGGCTATCGCTGCCCTCGCCTAACCAATCGGCCTCAACCGAGGACAGCAGCCTCCACGCACAGACCTGGAGCTGCAGGAACTGCGGTGCCGGGCCCGTCTCCCCCATATTTGTCCTCGGCTCGCCGCTCAACGCCTCCAGTACTGTAGCTAACACTTGGCTCTTTCCTTCCCGTAGAATTTAGAGATGCAATCTTGTCGCGAGCACATTTCCTCGTCATTGGTTAAATATTCTTTAGTTCTCGAAGAAACGACGGATTTCATCGTTTTAATTTCTTGGATGGAATTGATTCTTCCATTGAACGGACTTCCATTGCTTAGCCAATTAATAACAGGCCATTTATAATATTTAAATCTATACGTCTTAATTTGTGACGTTTGTCGATGTATTTTAGAAATATGTCACTTCGAAAAAACGAACATTTATAACAGTAAAAGTATGATGATTTCAAAATGAATTCTAATTAATATAAATTCCTTTTGTATTTCACTCGATACTCTCATATTCATTTTAATATTACTTAGTGATAATTAAACATTTATGTATGGCTAAACATTGATATCGAATGAAACATATTTATACTTCTATTAAAAATATTGGTTTTTAATGTAAAAAGAAACAGAAAATTAAACAATTGATTGTATAGGTATCACTTTTATGCTAAAGAAGAGGTTTCTGATAACTGAAAAATATTTAATTAAAAAATGTGGAAATAATTATACAAGTATATGTGCACATTTTATGTCTTGCATACATATAATTTCATTTTTGACATTAAGTTGTTTAATTATTTGGTTACAAATTTAAGGTCTAATAGCACTTTTGTAGAGTTAATAACTAAATTTTTTTTTATAAAAATACGCTTCACATCACTCAAGTTAAAATTAACTTTAGTTATTAAAAATTTGTGAAAACTCTGCTACTATCATGGAATTGTTCACGAACGAATAATAAATACAAAATTCGAATTTCAAAAAAAAAATAAAAATAATAATAATAACATTAGATTTTAATAAATGCAATTTTTAATTTCATAATTAATAAGTAAAATAATTTGAAATTGAATTAAAATATTATTAATTCTATTACTATTTTTTAGTATGGTGATATTTCATTATACTTTAATTTAATATTTTTTTTATATTTATATTTATAATATAAATATTATTTTAATTAAATTTTAATAAATTTATTATTTATTATTATATTATTATTTATATTATTATTATAAATAAATTTAAAAATAATTAAATATATTATTTATATATATATATATATATATATATATATTTATACTTTAATTTAATATAATAATTTACTAAAGTATAATTATAATTTATAATTATTTTTCAAAATTTACATTTACAAGCTATCCAATTATCATACAATTTTTTATTTATTTCATTCTATTCTATTCTCTTGTGATATTTTGTACGTAAATTTTTTTTTATTTTACAATATTTTAAATATTTGTGAATGAAAAACTGTATATGCTTTCCTAATTTATTGCACTTGTCTTGCATTATTTTGCATTATTTAAGAATATTAATGATATATATATATATTATTTGCATTATAAGCAAAATTAGAATTTAATCAATTCGATAGGTTCGATTTAATCAATAAATTGAATTTTTATGCTAAATTTAAAACAAAATAAATCTCTAGTTTTCAACATTTAATTCTTTTATTTATTTTATCGCGCTCAACACTTAATCAATTGAAAACACGCACAGTGCTTACTAAGTAATAATTTATTGAAAAATGTAGCGTATATTAAACAGATATGCATATATATTGTATAAAAAAAGTTGCCATTATTAACGCAATAAGAAATTAAAAATATATGAATGATTTAAAGTATAATTTGTCCCGCGTTGTTTGAAAAGTTTGTTGAATTATTAAGCTTTTAAGCTGTTAATTTAATTGTATTATTTACAAACTAAGTCATTAAAAGTAATCTGAAAGTGTTAACAATGAAATTAACCGTTGCAATAACGTTATATTTAGCGGACTGTAAAAGCACTATGAGCAGACATCATAAAATGAAATCGCTGTTGAAAATGTGACTGGATTATAATGTCAAAAATAATAATATTATTTTATGATAAATATTTTGTTTTCGAAATACAATTCCGCGATATATATACGTCCAATAGGCCTCATTGCGCGCGCGGGTGTGTAAATATTTTTATTAAGTAACAAAATTATTAAAATTCAATATGCTAATATAGGGGTTCAGCGTTCAAAAACTGTTGATTATCTATAAACATGTCGTTGATTGGGTAGAATCACGTATTTTTTCCTATCAAAATATTTCCCTTATCCTAAAATATTTGGATCGTTAATGAGTCTGCGAAGAATAAAACGAAAAGTGCACAAAATGCTATTACATTAGTAATATAAAAATAGACGGATCGATGGAGCTCTTTCTCGAACAGCTTGAACACTTTCAAAGTAACTACTGTGACTTCTGAGCTGCTACTGCACTGTAATTGACGACGCACGACGCTGTCACTCTGACAAAAGGTGAAAAGATTTAGAGGCCGAGAGCTTCTACATATTTACGCCTCGAAATTCTTACTTAGCGGAAACGTTCGATGTACACTGATTCACTGAATAAACGAGATATGCATTTAAATGTAAAGTATCCCTGTACTTGCCAAGTACCAGCAAAAGTAACTGTAATTTCCTTCTTTAGGTATCACATGAGTCACAAAGTTTTTTTTTTACATATCTTCTTACTCTTGTGAATGAAGCTTAGATTTTGTATCTCGGCATTTGAATTTTGTTTAAAATTCAACAACGTTTCTTTAAAATTTGCACTAAAATGGTCGAAAAGTAATCATGTCGCGAATATTATTCCTGAAATTAGAAATTCTTTTTTGAAATTAGCGATTACAATATCTTAATTTAAAAAACCTTTATACGATGTAGATCATTATCTATACAACTTGTGCAAAAATCTTCGGCTTAAAGTGAAAATTAAAAGCAACAAAAATTGTATTGAAAATCTTATTTTCAACAAGTTTCACCACTGGTACTGCGATGTCAACCATAAACTATTCGCATTAAATATTATTAATAAATTTTACTGCTATTTTACCCACGGAGCATTGCCAGTACATTTTCATCTATAAGAATATCTTCGGTTTCATATGATTGCTTATAATTTCAATAAGGCTTTATTATTTATTATTTTCGTTTGCCAATGGAAACATAACATTGGTCATCGATAGCTTTCTTGCACAATTATACCAATACTTTAAGAGTTATATGTGACGAGGCAGAATTTTTAAAAACTGCTGTTACATTACACGATTAAATGCATCCCCTATTGCTAAGTAATAATAATAATAGACAACGAAGCTTAAAGGACGTTATATCTTATATAAAGTATAAATGTATAAATGAAAATACAAAAGATACAAATATTCCTCGTATATATATATATTATAAAACATGATTATGTTGTTAATTTTGTTCTTTTATTTTTCATTTTACAGTTCTATGCAGTGACCGTGTAAGCCAAATGACCAAGACTTATAATGATATCGAAGCAGTGACAAGGCTTCTGGAGGAGGTAAAAATTAAATAAATCCCAAAGTTAGGAAATCTCGCAAAATTCGGGTATTCAATGCCATCGTCATTGAAAGAAAATTGAGATTTTCATATAAATATTAGATAATCTATAATTGTAATTGACCTTTAGGTATCACATATCACGTTAATAATATAAATCCAAAAACTTGTAAAAAAATCCTATTACAATGAATTGCATATTTTAAATTTAATAATAATCTAATGGTTACATAATTGAAATAGTTTGGAAATTTTCTAATATTATAGATCCATAATTACTAATTTGTTATAAGATATATATATATAAGACAATAATTAGAAAATTCTTTCAAACTCTTTTTATTACCTAATGTCCATAAACAAAAATAAATCTTTTTGAGTAATGTATATAAAATTTTCTCCTCTTGACATATATTTGATGTTCGAATTATTAAAAAAAATGCTTTTATAATTAATATTAGAATTATATTAACATATGGTATATTAAAAATAGAATATTTTATTAAATGTATTAACAATGGAAAGTTAAATAAAAATTTGCCGATTATCATCGAAAACCTATTTTTGCAATACATTCGTGGCGGAATAAAATGATTAATCGTTCTTATAATACGATAATGTGGTTGTAAACATCGTTATTGCTTAATCTCATAATGACAAGTCATACATAAATTTATACCCTAGTTTTGACATCATTGTCTTTTCTTGTCTAAATACGTACATTTAATTACACATAAATGTTAATGATATTTACAGTTTACAATATCAATACAATACCATCGCCATTTATCTTATAACGCAAGAAGTTTATGTTATATGTAAATTTATAATAAAAAAAAATTGAAAAATTATAATTGATTGTGTATTAAAAATTTTTATCAACATACATACATTGTACTTAATATAATTTTGAATTCCATAATAATTAAGTAAAATCTAATTATAAAATTAATTACGAAACTTACGAATATAATGTATATTAAAACAATAATGTTCCATTATTAGTTAAATGTGTATTCAAATGTATGAATTGTTCCAAATTTAATTTACTCAACGCCGTTAAAATATACGAAGATAAATTCAAACAATTTATACTTTATATAAACGATATCGCGGATATATAATTATATATTCCAAGAACTTAATACTTGATAATCTTCATATATATAAAATAGCTCATAAGAGTGACACATAAACGCGCGCGCGCGCGCGTGTTTACATATATATGCTAATTATAATGCTAAATATTGAAATAGAAAATCTAACAATAATCGACTTATTTGAATGTTGTTTGGTATAAAAAAAAAAAAAAAAAAAAAAAAAAAAAAAACAAAAAAAAAGTCAATAATTGGCTTTAACGTTTTTCTGCAATTTGTACGTTCGCTTTTATTTGATTTTTGCGTTCGATTATAAGGCGGTAGTGTCTTATTTTTTCACTTGAAACTTACCGCACTATGGCTTCCAGAAAGAGAAGGATTTGGAACTTACCGCACGAATCGGCAAGGAGCTTTTGTCCCATAATCAAAAGCTTGAAACGACGGTCCAGGAGCTCGAGAATGAACTGAAGGTAGCGAACGAGAAGATAACGCAATTGTCTTATGAGGTTAGCAAGAAAACTGAACTGATACAGGTGCTAACGAACGATGTGGACGAATCGGGCGGATCCGAGGCCGGTACACCCACCGGCTTCAGAGGCATCAACCTCGATGTCATGCAAAAGAAAATAAGTTCACTAGAGGATGAAAACAAACAGTTGAGAAATGAGTTTTCGAAGCTCGCGCACGAAGCTGACAATTGTGAGGAGCAGGAGGCACGTTTAGTTAAGGATATTACTAATCAATTAGGTCAGTACATATTCTTTGTCGAGTAATAATGCATTTGCAATTCCCAAGAATTTGGTAACATTAATGATGAGCTATTAAGATTTCAATCAATTTTCTTGAGAGTTTTATCGTAGCGTTGTGTGAATTATGGGAAAAGATTCTTGGTTTTTCCACCTAGCCAGTTACCAAAATAATTTAAAATAATAAAATTACATTTTCAATTTTTTTGAGCTTTTTGAGTTTTACCGTTTAACTATAATTATGTATAATAACGTTTGTTTTTAAGTATAAAGTCTCCCCCCCCCCCCATAAGTATTGCTATTACAATAGCAAATTTCAAATTTTATTCAATGCTGAAAGCTTAAATTGTGCATTGTTAATATCTACGCGTTGCATAAAATCTAAATAGATTATATATTTAATTTTGTACAATAAAGGCTCCAGTTGTTTTTCATGCCATATGTTATTTGCATTTATAAATGATATTGCCAATAATAAATATGCTATATACAATATATGTATATATGTATATATAGATTACAACATTGGGTAATCAACGGCTTGAAAAATTGTAATACATAAATAAGATATTATTTATAAAATAAAGATTGACTATTGAATTAAAAATGTTAACAGCCAACGCCAATATGGAAGTTTATGGAATAGCAGAGGAGCTCGATAGGCAGAAAGAGGAGAATCGGCTTCAGCACGAGCAAATTATCAACTTAACAGCAAAACTATCGGAAACCGAACTAAGGTTAGCTCAATTGATGTCTGAACACGATGACGTTAGTACTAACTTGGTGATTACGAAGGAAAATCAAAATGCTTTAGCCGATGAATTGGCCAAATTCAAGGATCGATACTCCGAGGTACAATTCATAATACGTTCCTCAAAATTCGAACGTCTTCATGCATTTAGACAGCTTTTATTTCTCACTTACAGGTTGTCAATATGCTAGCAGAAACGCAAGAACAACTCAGAGATCAACGTAAACGATCGATGCCAGTAGCTCGTGGTGGAGCACTTTTCCCATCTTTAGCCGCAGCTCCGCAACCGGATTCCATTGCTTTAGAATTAGAATCCTCGCTTTATTCGGAATTGAGTTTAGATTCGGGAATAATTTCTGATCGAATGTAAGTTTTAATGATTTTCTTATACTAATTTCTCAATCAAATACACAACTATAAATGACACTAGTTAATATAAAATAGCATTTTCCATAAGTGAGAATAAACAAAACAAAAAAACAAAAAAAAAACAAAAAGAAATCTTGTAACAGCTTGTGATTCAGCACTTGTGATGAAAGTAGCAACTCTGTTTTCAAAACGAGCCTGGGATTTACCCACTTTCTCTTATATCATGGCAGCTCTTTCTTTCATTTTCACGATATTTCGCATTACGTAAATAATCATATATAAAAAATTAAAATTAAAAATAATAAAAAATAAGACACCTCGTGAAAGGCAATTGATAATTTTAACGTTTAAAACACACGCGCACACGCACACAAGAAACCAATAAAAAGTTATAATTTGTTGAATTTTTATTCCAGACCTTCGTTTAAAAAGGTATTCAGTACTATAAAAAACGCATCGAGAAACTCGACAAATAGCAATGCCGATGGAATGCAGTTCCCGCGAATAGGTTCCATGACTACATCAACTATATCAAGCAGTTCCTTAGGACCACGTATGAGTTCAACTTTGCAAGGACGATCGAAGAATGCTCGTTCGACCTTCCCTAGTCTCGATTCTACAGGTCACAGTGATAGCGAGGGTTCTCTTCTCACTGATTCGGAAGATTACCCGTAAGACTGATAGTTTTATCGATTGATTGTATCGACTACCGCCACTTGATGTATCCTTTATTTCTATAATATTGCTTATAATATACTTACAAGGTGCATTAATTATTGAAACCCCATAATGCATTAAAGATTATTAATACTCGGTGCTTAATGAATTTTCTAAATTATTTTAAAGTCAGCGACTCGACGATCACAATGTACACACAAGTAGTTTAACAAACTGCGAACTAATAGTGCTCGAATGTATTTCAGTGCGCCCCAGCAAGTCGGTGTCCCGGGCATACCCGGAGCGGCAGATCTCGAAGCAGCTCTACGACGTTTGACTCCCGCCGAAGTATCGGCTCGACGTGCCTGTTTGAGTTCCGGGGCAGGATATAATTACGATTACGACACGGGCATTCACACACCACCGAATTTCATACCGTTTGGCTGCCGAACGCCCGATAGTATAATGTCAACTGGTAGTAGCGGCAACTTCAGTGGGTTCAGCGGCAACAGCTCGACAAGTTGGCGACTGCCTGAGAAATTGCAGATTATTAAGCCGATGGAGGGCTCGCAAACTCTGCACCATTGGTCAAAGCTTGCCACGCCAACATTAGGCACGTTGACGCCTTTTTCTTCCTCTTTATATTCAATTGTTTCTTGAGACGAGCACAAACAATTTACCATCGATACCAATATTATTATAATATTTTGCTTGCAATTAACACGTGTACTATTAGAAATTCTATGAGTTCGCGATTGTGAAAATGCAAATACCGAACGAATATGGCGATACAAGAAAAGAATAAAAAAAAAAAAAAAAAAAAAAAAATGTACTCGAATAAGATACTTGAACAGTTGATGATGTAATATGATATTTTCAGGCGGCTTGCTGGAAGACCGACCCGGTGTAAAAATCCGTGGCGGTCGGGCCCTCGAAGATCTTGGCCTGGAGATCTTTACCCTAACCGATGTTGAAGAGGACGAGGAGTATCTTAATCCGGGGAAACTCTTTCAAGATACTGGCTCGATCTATACCTACACCAACAGCACGGTAATGCATCCTGACGATCACACGATCATCACCTCGAGCCTCGTCTCGAGTCGCGTGCCCAGCGAACCTAACAGCGGTCTGAATACAAGCGTTAACTCGGGCGTCACCACGCCACACACTCTCAGTCGTCGTAACTCAACGTCGACTTTCTCGACGACCCTCGGTCTCGCCAAAATGTTGAACGAGCGTGGCATCAAGGCGGTCACCGCCTCCTGCGTCTCCACGCCAAACGGCGATAAGAACTTCACCCCGACAATGACGCCGTGCAACAGCCCCGACGGGAGCCCCGGACACTCGAGATCCGCTTCCCCGGAGCCGTCGACCTCCTCCATATCATTTGGCCTATTGTACAGTGGTGCTGAATTCTTGAAGCGCACTTTCAGCGGCGACACGCCGCAGAATACGCCTCGACAGACGGAGGCAATTAGGAAGAGCAGACGCGACAATGCTAAGCAGCAGAGTAACGAAGGTAAGGGAAAAGAGATCGAAAAGCAAGACTGGATGAACATGGACAGTATAACGAGCTCGAGTTTAGGCATGTCGCAATTGGCTCTTCAAGGGACGTTTTACTCTTGGCGGAAGAGCCCGATTGCACAGTTCGCCTACCTCAAGAATTCAATGTCGAGGAAAGTTGAATATGAGGGGAACTCTAGTGATTCTAGCTACGTCGCCTCGACAGTGAGCGACGACTCGCAATCTGGTGTCTCGTCCGTCAGTGGGAAGAGCGAGAGGTGCCAGACCGAGGATACCGACAATTTTGCGTCTACGCAAATATTGTCAACGAAGTTCCGGCACAGCGGTGGTGCGAGGTCCGTGACGAGGCCGGACCTCGGGCAAGTGAAGCAACAGTGTCAAAGTACCGGAGGTCCTGGATCCGGAGGCAGCTCGATACCGCCAATAGTTACGAAGGAATCGATGGCACAGTCGACACTCGGAACTATAAGTTCGCTCCTATTTGGCCGAAAGGGTGGCCTATTATAAGGTGCTCGCGCACATACCAATGAGACGACAAAATCTTGGTTACTGTGATTTAATACAATTGAGAGGAACGTATGATTATGCATTTTGCAATTAATCGATGATGAGTGATGAATGTAGGATTAACCAATTAATTGATGCTGTACTTACGAAGAAACGTAAAAATGACCGTAGGATGTGTAAAATGTTTTAATGAACCAATCATTGTTAATTATTGCTAAGTAATTGTTGAATTAACGGTAGCATTGTAAATTTAGCAGTTGTTTTCAGACTGGATACTGTTTAATTTCTAATTCAGTATAAACTTCAATTAGATATGTTAATATTGTAATGATATTATTCACGCTTGTCATTTGCGAGATTTTTTTGGTAAATACAGCAAATTCTTGTTGACGTTTATCTTATATCATCTGGTATATTATACTAAAGGTGTGATATAAAAATAAATGAATTTTAAGGATAACTAATTCGCGGAGACGAAAACACTTGTATTGTTTTCAATTTTATTTTCTTATCAAGGATAAATTTTCTTCGCTTTTAAGTTGACGTAAAACTTCTGCAGTCTAATAGTTGTATAATTACATAAGTGAAATAAGCAAAATGTTAGAGAAAGAAAGACAAGATAAAACTTTTTTCGTTACGTTACGTTCCTCCTTATAAAATTTATTATTTTTCATTTCTCTCTCTCTCTCTCTCTCTCTCTCTCTCTCTCTCTCTCTCTCTTTCCCATAACGATGGATTTTACCTTTGTCTGAAGGATACAAAATCTCTATAAATTGTGACAGTGATTTTTAGTCCAAAAAATTCGATTACATAATTGTTTTGTCAATAGTATATGGAAATAAAAGAGAAAAAACATGCATTTTATTTATTTAGACTTATCTATTTAAGATGATAGATATGAAATATTTAAATAATTAGTTATAATGATAATTTTCAATTAACTGTAAATTATTATTATTTTATAGTAAAAATTGCTATTGCTATGTCAAAATGTATTATGCTCGAAAGCTTAAATAATTCCATTGAAATTTATTTCATATGAAATCCGGATGCAAAATTTGTTACTATTTATAAACGGACAATTAACTATTCGTATTTTACATTATAGCAATAAAAATACATTTGTTTAATTAATGTTTAAAGTATCCTAAAATTAATATTCATATCCAAGAAAATCCGTTATCTTACGATAATAGACTTTAGAAGAAATTTGTGACTCTTGTCACTGAATAATACAATATTTTATTGTACCAAAGTGCACGGACATCAAGTGGTTTTACTCGAGAATTGAAGCGTCGAGATAAATCGAATAGTCGGTAATTTCATCGATAATCGAGGCAACATATTACGTGAAAAATTGTCTCGAAAGGTGATAATCACCTTTGGCAGAGGCCTTTTGTAAATTTAAGATTATTGAGATTAGTTCATTAAAAGAAGCTCGCAAATGTAGAAGTTGCGCGAGCATTTTATGTCTACTAATGGTGCATTAATGATCGTAGAAAAAGAAATCCAAGTATTTTCATGATAATGTGATCGCAATGGTGCGATTCGTTTTGTATGCACAGATATTGCGATACGGGGTAACGAGTCCTTTTTAGCTTATTGTGTTTGTAAATAGTAAACTCTTTATATAGTTATACGATATTCAAACATTAAATATACATTTATTTATTCTCTCATTGACAAGACGTTAATGGAAATAATAATCATAAGGTATAGAATGGATAAAAGAACAAAAACAAAAAACAAAAAAAAAAAACAAAACAAAAACAAAACAAAACAAAAACATTCACCACAAAGACTATTATTATTATCCGAACAAAAATCGAATCCGAAATATTAAAAATACTAAATTTAAAGCACAAATTAAATAAAGTTATAACTCGTTCGCCTACTTGTTTCGACGACAAAAATTAATGAAATTATTCCCATCATGAATTTAGTGCCAATTTATTTTTATTTCGAATATAAAACTTAAGTAATACAATTTTTATATTATTTTTATCGTTTAGCGCTTAATCGATAAAAATCTCTCCCATCGCAATTTTTAATGCGTTGTTAGAGCGTCGCTGCTATTGCCAGTCTTTGCGTTTAGAAGACTATGTACTTAGCGCCATTTGTGTTACGGTGACGCGCAAATTTGTAAATAATTTTAATGAAATATACATCATTGATTCTGTGGACAGTTCTATTATTATAACGCTTACATTATTTATTTTCGATGCAGCCGACACACGTATGCGAAAACATGTTCTGCCACTTTATGATGTACCACAGATGCTAATTCCGATCAATACAGTTTTGTGTGTGTGTGTATATATATATATATATACATATACATATATGAATTAGACGTATAACATGAAATAAATTAAGTTGATGAAAAAAAAAATAAATAAATAAATAAAAAACAAACAATAATAATAATAATAAATAATAATAAAATCTGTTTTACCTTAATGAAACGACAATAATCCATTATTTTTAAGTAATCGAGGACCAACTTTGATCCAGTCTCACTTTAAATCTCCAGCTGATTATCGACTCAACGTTCTTCTAATTTGACGCGCAGCAATGACTTCACGATTTTTAACGAAGCCATCGTTGCTTCGCGTGCCAAGTGATTAGATTGCGTGCTGTTTTTCAACTATTCTTACTTATACTTTCCCCCTCGTTACGTGACATTTTTTTTAAAACGAACTTTAGTCAAAAAAAAAAAATAAAAGAAAAAAAAAGATAGATTTACATTAAAAAATTTCTATATGGTTAAATATTCATTTCACATACTTACAATGGAATATGCATTTTTCAATTTTTAAAATTCTTTTTCTTTTTTTAAGCGTAAATGTATTGTATATTGATATGGAAAGTTGATTAATAGATTTGTCTGATAATAATTGCAAAGAATAGAAATCATTGAATTTGCAGACTTGTTAGAAAAAATTATTTTATAATAATATATCTAATAAAATTAGCTACGTATATAATTAATGAAGTATTTATATATTCAAATTAAATTTATTTCAATAAATTTTTTACAGTTAAAACGAATAAAATGTGTTCTATTTGAAAATATATGCTTTAAAAAGATGAAAAGTATATTTTTAATATTAAATTAATAAATGAAAGTATCGAAATAATGGAATCAAAGTAATAATTTCGTTTAAATTATTAAAATTAAAAACGAGATTTATCACTTTCTATTTTCAATTTGTGAGCTTTTTTTTATTTTTTTTTTTATAATCATTGTGTATTATTCAATTATGTTTTTAATTGTGGTTAAATTGATAATAATTTTTTGCAAATGATTAAATTATACTATTTTGCTGTATTATAAAAATTTGTAGTTCATAGTAAACAAGTGGTAGAATAATTATTATGCTTGACTATAAAAATATTTGAAACCATTATCATTTACCTGTTATTTCAAGTTATAAAGCATTTATTATTTTACGTAATGGATGAACAATAAGAACTTAATAGTTTTTTACTTATATAAAAAATACTGAAGATTTTAGTTTAAATATCATAATAGTATATTAACATACTTCTATAAATTTTTCATAATAAAGAGCTTTTTTTTATAATATTCTTTCTATTAAATAAGTTGTTGCTGGGCAAAATGAAAGCTAATGCGAAGTATTAAAAGTGTCACATGGTACGAGCTGCCGTTCAAGGCTATAAAATGAATTATTACAAGAATTACTATGAGGCTCGCGCCATAATAATGCTACTTTGGAACATAATGTTGTTGGAGAAAAAAAACAAAGTGATTTGGAGACTTTAAAGCTGCATAGAATTCTTTCAAAAAAAAAAAAAAAAAAAAAAAAAAAAATGTATATTATATTATATAGATAAATAAATATGAATAATTTATTCTTATTTCTTATTGTTAACCTCTCAGCATATGTTTAATGTATTAAATAAAAAGATTTTTAGGCATTTAAGTTAATAGAGTTTTAATATAATGAAGATTATACAAAGAACTAAGAATATATCGAATAAGTAACTATTCAGAAGAATAATTAAAGTTAAGTATGACAATGATATACTCCTAATCTCCAATATTTACAGCATTTATAAATTATTTTACATAATTGTAACATTAATATTACGTATATTCTATCAGCAGCAAACGTAGCTTGTAAACGCAAAGTAGACAGACAGCAAAGGATTATTTTAAGCAGATTATCAAAATTTGAAATAAATTGTTGTTTTAAAATAGTTTATAATGTATGGGATGTATAAAGATTTATCCGTATATATATATATATATATATATATATATATAAACATAAATATTGTTAATTTATTTCATTCGGTCGAGAGTAGCATTTATGTATATAAATATATATATATATATATATATATGTATTAGATATTTTCTATTATTGATAATTGAATTATTTCATTCACGCGACTGCAATATCTTCTCTGCAAAAATATCGGCTTTTATCCTTTAAATATAAAACTATTGTTAATTGTTGTTAATTAATATTAAAATTGATAATTTTTCTCGAATTATTATAACACTATAAAATTATTTTACAAATTTATCTAATACAATTTTGTCATAACTTTTAGATTTTCCAGATTTATCTTATACTTATAGTTTAAAATTTCGCTAAAATGTGTAAAAAAAAAAAAAAAAAAAATTCTAAAAACAATAATATACGTTAAAAGTTTCATAATCATTACTAATAATAGAATACCTAAAGTGCAGGTGGAATTGATAAATAAAGCAGAAAAATTAATACTTTCTATAAAGACTGTATAGAAATATCTATTTGTAAATATGTTCGCCTACCCATCCATACAAAGAACGGATATTTGAATTAATATTGAATTCAACATGTTTTTATCACTTTTTATCACGGGCCTCTAAGTATAACTGAATTCGAAATAAATCAGAAATAAAAACATGTGAAATAAAATGATTCATTGTTAGCAGCGTGTAAAAGCCTTTAATGAGAAAAACGATTGCAGTATTAATGTAACGTAAGATATGGACGTAGAAATAAAAATTTTTCAAACTTTCTAAATGTTTTAATTTCATTTTCATTTGCATTTTGAGCATAAAATTTAAAGAGTCCGTACACGGTAGAAAATATGTTTGTTTAAATGCTTCATTTGTTTATTGTACAGAAATCACTTGCACTATTCCACATTCCATGGTTTTAATAAGTTATATATATATATATATATTTAATATCTTTCATATAAAATTATTATATTTCTTATCAAACTTTTATCGATAATTTAAAAAACGAATGAAACTTTTTTCCTCAATTTCAAGGAACGTAATATGCCGAGTCACTAGTTTTTACTATATTTCACTAAAGACTCAGTGATTTATCAAAATTTAACTTTATATTGTTCACTAGCTAAGCTGCTTAATTGCTTATTTGATTATAAATTGAGCATTAAACAACATGGGCATATTTATATTTCAACCATAAGTAGAGAAATATTAATTTTACCCCTCATATTCACTAAACGCATCCCAATACTTTGTTAATTTTTACCAAACCTTTCTATTAATCTAAATTCATCAATTATTATTATTATTATTAAGATAATATCTTGACCTTAATTCTTCATTCCCTATTTAATGTGCAAGCGCATTCATACCTTATGCTTGTAATTGCACATGCGCGAAGTTGAAGACCTCTTTGACCTAACTAAATATCGCGTACAGTCACGTATCGCATTTAAATTGAAATTTTAAAAGAGACGCAGTGAAAACTATATATTATAAAGTATAATGAATAAAAGCTAAACCTAACTAAAATCCTTCTTTAACGAACATTGACAACAACAAAACAATAGTTTAGTAATATTTCTTCTCATTTTAATATCTTTGCTTAATATATTTGCTTGATTTATGTCGCTAAATTGTCGCTTCTAACGTTTTTAAAAAAATACCATCCGCCTAGTACTGTAATTTTTGCACTTTATATCGCAATCGTAAATATCATTATTATCGCTCAGCTTTTTTCCGAATATTTGATATTTCATGGGACATTATTGTTAAGCATTTTTAGCCGTTAATTATGATATTTATTTTGCACTTATCGCAATAAGCAGTAGGTGGAGTGATAAGTATATTTGCCAGCATTTTCGAGCAAATAAACCTCAATTTACGCATAAAGCTTAACTCCTTAACTCCTTTTATCAATAATGAGGTAAATATGAGCATTGAAGATGCACGTGAAGCGATATGATTTAAGATGTACTATACGTATTGCCGACCTACTCGACTCCTTATCAACACTTTTATAACTTCCAACTCTATGTTGTGCTTTACAAAGGATTTATTTTTATGGAACATATTGTTTCTTAGCTGCCTATTTGAATTTATCATTGGAGTATCATTGTTAGTAACGTCCCGAGGATGCGACCACCTTCTCGCTCAATTAAAGTGTATTTTTCATTAAAGTTCTTTGTGTGCGCGTGTGCGTGCGTATTGAAAAACGAGTGGTTTTGAAGTATTTTTTTTTCTTCGATTATTAGGATGCATTGCCAATGACTGGCTGTTGCAGTGCAGAATTGCTTCTTTTGTAAAAATTCCTTGCAAAAAAAGAAAAAAAAAAAAGAAAAAATATGAAAGAAAACAACTTGATCGATCGACCATATAAATGTGTATTACCTATAAACCTAATCGCTCGAGATAGCAGAGAAAAAGTCGAATCTTCCATTTCAGCTGTAACTTTAATGTTAAAGAAACGTGACTTTTTTTCAAATTGAAAATTTATACTCTTTTTCAAAAATTATTGCTTTGAAGTCACATAACTAATACTTAGCATGCATCCGAGGTGGATGACGAGGACGTATTTAAGGATAATAAATCCATCGATAAATCTATATTTAACAATGTAAATATAATATTTATTTATGTAAAATTTTATAATATATTGAACATAATTGTATGTTTACGATTGCATTTATGCTCGTAGGTCTTAAAATACATTGGTAAATTAACAAGTGCTTACGGATTTTATAATTCTGCACGTCTATGCATGTCTATGCACTTTTCCATCCAACTCATTAGCGATGGATTTTCACACCCGTCGCCCTTACCCACACTTTCGCCCGGTTATATTTGAAATAATTCTGGAAATTCTCTCAACACCATTTTTCTTTTATTTATAAGCCGTGCAAATGCCTCGCAGCCGAGCATTTCCTAATTAAATGCTAAATTTAATATGCAAATATTTAATGGTACACATAATGTATTATAGAATAATAAATAGATAAAAACAAAAATTGTAATGTTTATTTGGAGCAAAATAACGTTTACCGTTTACAACCGTAAGCTTATTATTAAAATTATGGAACGTGAATTTTTTAATAAAAGTGTGCTCGTACATATGCTTCGGCTGGCCGGTACTGTTTAATTAAATAAAAAAATAATAATGTCCGTTAAATAAAAATAAAAAATAAAAATAAAAAAAAAAAATGAATTTCAATAAATGGTAGAAATAGATGAGAATGTTATTGAAAATTAATGAAAATTCACATAAGTGTATAACTTTGCTAGAAAATAAGAATAATTTTAATTTGAATGTTTCATATTCGAATACATTTTGCTACTAATCATCTTTAAAAGTATAGTTTACGTTTTATACTTGTTATCTCAAATTGCCCGATGATAATTAGGATACGACAATACGCCCATAATATATTGCATCCAATAAAACTAGAATAATACTCATTTATAGAAAAAATTTTATTATTACACGCCTTGACTATATATATACGACCGAAAATAATGAATCAAGTGCAGTTACGCATTTTCCACCGAAGGACCAAAGATAAACGACAATGTGGAAACGCATTTAGACAATAAGCAATAACCAACTCTAATGGAATGTTCATAAAAGTTGAGACTTTTGGAGCTTTTATTGTATAAATTTTGTTCCATCGCTATATGTCGTGGCAATGCGAACGATAATTTTGTATGTGAAGTAAAAAGACTAGCGATAACAATTTCGTTATAATTACCTTGTGAAATATGTAATACATCCGTCTTTATCAGTCTTTATAGTATCAACAAAATGTGCTCACATGACCGATTGTTTATAATAGAACATTGTTATATAGTTTTAAGCTTTAAGAGACGTATAATTTCGGAATGAAAGAGATTTTTGTTTTATAGGAAGTCACTTGCAACGTCTTACTTCAATTTGTTAATAATGTACTTGCATTTTTTCATGTGCTTAAACATTCGCTCATATTCTTCAATTACTTGTCCTTCATATCCGCTTCATAACTTTTCACCTCCTTTTGATATCCAGGAGCCTTTCGTCCCCGAATAAGCATCGAGCTATTAATTTCCTTCTACACAAGCATCTCGATCGACCTCAATCCAATCCATCGCTCCATCCAATCATCCCACATACAATTTATTACAATTTCATGTTTCTCATTTACATTTAGTGATTATTTAAAAGTTCTTTTATTAATTACCATCTTTTAAATATCATTTACAGCTTCTCCCGCTCTTTTGTCAATTATACAGGCTCTCTCTCTCTCTCTCTCTCTCTCTCTTTTCCCACAATTTTTAATATTTGCCCCTCGTCGTTTACGCATCCCACCCATCGATTATCTCTCATTCGTCATTTCTCCTAACGAATGAATGAATGAATGAATGAATGAATGAATGAACGAACGAACGAACGAATCGATTATTTATTTATCGGTTTTATCGTCAGCGCGGGAGCCCGAGTCCCGATTAGCAGGAAGGTGCGAGGAAGAAGTGATCGGACGGTGATGCTGGCGTGTGAAGGAGGCGGGAATAAAAAGAGAGGGCACGAGGTGGAAGATGTAAATGGGCATTGGCGGATGTAATGTAACAAGGGCCTCGTGATTAAATTGAAACGATTGCGTGGCTTTGACCAATTGCCGTCTGGCCGCAGCGGAAAGTCAATGATCATACGTTGCGGCGATTATAGACGAATGAGAGAGTCGTCGTCCTCGTGGTCGTGGTAGTGATTGTGGTAGTGGTCTTGATCGTCGTCGTAGTCGTCGTAGTCGTAGTCGTCGTCCTCGTCGTCGTCGTCGTCGTCGTCGTCCTCGTCGTCGTCGTCCTCGTCGTCGTCGTCCTCGTCGTCGTCCTCGTCGTCGTCCTCGTCGTCGTCGTCGCCGTCGTATGGAAATGTCGTCGTGTGGCTCGTGCCGGCGTAAGCGGGCGATGCGCATGCGATACGCGCAGGAATGTGCGCTGCGTGTTGTGCCGCTTTATGCTATTGTTCGCTCTTCCTCTTAGATTCAGCAGACTTCTCCCGGTTCTTTTCGGAATATGGCGGATGCCGAGGTGAGTCTGTCACGTGGAGGGCCATTCGTTTGGCCACTATTGTGAAATAAAGAATTGAAAATGTGCTTTTCGTTGCAGCTGACGAGGGCTTTAAAAGATCTACCGAATCGAATACAAATTGCCAGCAAGACCGAGCGGCGGGACGTAATTCGGAATGTCGTCGATGTGTTGTCAAATCCTGGTGTGTATAGTCTTTGGATTATTATTGAAATTGAACGGATTGTCGGTGAGAGATGGAAATCTTTTCGCTCGCCGGCCCGTGGCTTCTCATCGTTTGCCCATTGCCATTCGTTACGACGGCGTTTTAACTTAGTAATCGATGCTTCGTAGGCTTACTAGGCGGAACATATTTTTTACATATATTTGATATATTTTTATGTATATTTTACCTACGCTTTATTGCATATATCCCAAGACAAACGTGTTGAGATTTGCCTATGCTTTTTTTTTGTGCGTGCGCGTGTGTGTGTGTGTGTGTGTGTGTGTGTGTGTGTGTGTGAGCGCGCGTGCGAGATTGTGCACTAAAGTTATCGTAAAGCCTGGGTAAATGGATTAAGGAGTCGATGCTGTTTGTTGTAGGAATCAATGAGAAGATCGTGGCTGGCATTTGCAAGAGCATATCGATCACCTTGCATCGATATAACGACACTGCTTCTCAGTCCTACGTGACGAGTCTGATCCTGGCACTGATAAAGAACCATCCCCAAGCCACCGTAAAGCATTTAACCAGCGTGGTTGTGGAACAGGCTGCTTGTCACAGGAATTTAATGCCAACGTAAATAAATTGGAATTTATCATTGTATTACGAGACCTTGTATCGCCCTTGCCTATAGGAGAATTTACATTTAAAGATTCTACGGTAGTCCACGAATAGTCCCGTAAGCCCCGTAAGCCCAAAAAGTTCCACGAGTCCCGTGAGATACGCCTTCTGGTATTTACAAATTAAGTCTCGTACGTATGAATTAACGACGAGGGCCTAATTAGACATTGATATTTGTGTAGCGATATGCTGTAGAGCGAGACAAGGATGCGATATTAAACAAATACTACTAGTGCGTTAAATTTGGTCTTTGTCATAATTAATGTTAAAATCATTGCAGGTACAATACCGCCTCGTCCGCTTACGTTGTGCTAAAATGGAGTTCCTTAATTTTTCTACACGCGGCTAACGAACTTACCAGCTCCGGTGGCGCGGAGCTGGCCAATTTAATAGAGGCCCAAGCAACTTTGTGCGCCGCTGCGTTAGCCGCCAGAAATAAGAAGCTGCAGAATAAAACTGGCTCGCTCTTGACTTACGAATGGAATGCCGTTAAGAATAATATCGATGAGAAGTATGTAGATATTTTAATTACTTTGGAAGCCAGCGAAGGTGTCGTTGCGCTTGCTGGCGTATTAACGACTTACCTCACAACGTCAAACAAAATTGATCTTATAGTAAAACTGAAAGCCAATATTTTAACTTCTTTTATCAAGGTTTGCGTAAGTTGCAAAAAGAAGCCAGATCTCTATATTATAGACGCGGCAGTCCCATTTTTGAAAAGAGTTACTCACGATGATTTCAGAAATCAATTATTACCTGCTTTGCAAAAGGCTATGCTGAGGAATCCAGAAATTATAATCGATACCGTCGGCCACATTCTCAGTGGCCTTAGTCTTGATTTAAGCGACTACTGCCAAGACATCGGTAACGGATTGTTCACAAATTTATATTCAAAAGATGATTTGGTTAGAGACGAAGCTGCGGATGCCTGTAGAAGGCTGTCGCTTCAGTGCTCCGACAGCTCCATGGTAGAATGCTTACTGTCTTCGATATTTTCAGTATTTCATGGCGCCAAAGGCAAATTAACAGTGGCCACTCACAAAATCTCAGTCTTACAAGGTGCTGGCAATTTAAGCTTTAATATCGCCAGTGGAAGTAGTATACAAAAATTGGCAGAGATCGCTTGCGGCCACTTTATTACAGTTTTCAAAACGGAAATTCACGAGAAGACACTATGCCACGCACTGGAAATGATGTCACTTTGGTGTCAAAAGTTTTCCAGCGACGTGCCTCAAAACATCATCGATGCTTTTAAACAAGGAATGGCTTCTAAGAATTTGACACCAGCGGTGCGAAGCGCCTATCTCAGATTGCTCTTTTCCATACCGACTCAGCTAATAATCCATCACAAGGGAATCATAGTCCCAATCCTAGCACAATCCATAACAAAATCCACGCAACAGTGTGCTCAGCCTGCTGTAGTGACGGAAAGTTTATACGCTGCTTATTTGCTTCTGAATTTAGTTCTGACCGATCAAGTGGAAAACGACAAACAAGCAATCTTATGGTCCGCTGTTGATAATCAAATCTTCTTTAACGAAAAGTTCTTATCAACTTGCAACGACGATACAATTTATTATCTCATGTTGTTTTGCGAGAAGCTCATTTCGAACTTTTCCAACAAACTAAACGAGAAGAGTTTGAGTGGAATCCATCGGGCGATTATAGTTTGTATAACAACGCCAAAGTTTGCTACAAGAAATAAGTGCTGCGCGTTGGTGAAAAAATTTCTCACCGGACTTAAATCTTACGAGCCACTACGGTCTCTCCTCATTGAATTTAACAAGTTTCTCGAATCGACAAAATTCCGATCCGAAAATGACAAAGACAATATCAAGGATGACATTAATGCAGAGAAATTAGTTTGCGGCATTTCACTCGCCGATGGTCTTTTGGCAATCTGCTCCAGTTCGTTTGTATTCAAGGAACTCGAGCAGGATGTAATCAAGGACTCGATAATCCCAGCCCATCACCCGGTCATTTTCAAAGCAGTGCCAAATTTATGGAGAAAAATCGTGAAACATTATAACGATACGCCAGTGAACTTTTTACGAAAGTGTAGTGGTGAAGTGAGAAAGATGTTCATTCAAAGTTACAAAAATGTGGCGAGTTATCATAACGCGCTTAATATTGTTGCTTCTATAGCTCCTGACGTCATTATTCCACCACTGATATCACACGTTACTAATAAATTCGGCAATCCCGAAATCACAAAGGTAACCAAGGACGAGTACTTTACGTATTTAATGCCCGAAGGCGAGCTCTATGATAAAAGTGTTCTTCCGGGCAACGATGAAAATAACATTCTCAATGCCATGAATATGAAGAGAGAGAGCAAAGTGTATACGTTTAAGGAGCAACAGGAAGAGCTACAGCTGAGAAGAGAATTGTACGAGAAGCATAAAAAGGAGGGGAAAATAAAGGAGCCGAAACTCACTCCTAAACAAGAAGAGACCCTGAAGGCGCAAGTAGCCAAGGAGAATACGATAAGACAGAGACTTAGCGAAATGAATGCAAATATATGTAATGTCGTGTCGATGATCACTGCGGTTGTCCAAGGAAATGGCTTTCATTTATCATTGCACTTTAAAGATCTATTGCCTGCGATATTAGGAAACTTGTCATCGCCACTTGCTGCTCCAATTATGAGCCAACTATTTGTCAAGCTCTGTGACATTGTCGTCCAATCTAACGATCCAACTCTGTTTCAGCTTATTGCTCATGTTACGCTACGACAATTTGATCCTCAGTGTGATTTAGATCCGGCTTGGGAAGACGAAGAGCTTGCAAGCGCGATTAAACGCACGCTAAATCTCATTCATACGATGACTGGAAAGAAAAAGCAATTATTCTGTGCTCCGGCATTCTGTTACATTTTTTATTTCATTAAGAAGACTCTGCTAACCTGCAATGATGACGGTACAGTTGCCATTTATAATTAAACTTAAATATCACTGAACAACTCCTTTCCAAAATTATGAAATTTCGATATTTCGATATTTATCAAATATTTATTAAATTAAATTAATTATTAAATTGTTGGTGTGTTTGTTTAAAAGATAAGTGGATAAGTGATTCGATAGCATTGCCATTAAATTCTAATAATAAAATAATGAAAAGCAAGGGTTTTCTCCGCAAGGAAAATCTTGCAGCTGATGGGCATTTCATAACAAAAAAATAATTAAATAAATAAATAATTAAATAATTATAATTATAATAAAAAAAGTATCTAGCATTTAAACGCTACCCATGAAATACTATAATACCTTGAATTATTCAAAATAACAACTTGGCGAGTTCCTCATTCATATATATATGTGTGTGTGTGTGTGTGCGTGCGCGCGCGTGTGCATCTTTATTGCCAATTTAGCCTAATATTTCATGCTTGCAAGTATTATTATTAATCTTGCTTTACAACAGCCATGATAACTAAGGGCCTGCAAATAATGCAAGACCATGCCAAGCAACGCGGCGACTCGAACAACTCGGAGGACTCTCGACACCCACGACACCTGCCCCGCAAGCAGATGCTCGACCTGCTGATCGAGCTGATGAGCAGCACGAATGGCCGTGTACAGACCCAATCGGTCACCACCTTCCTGGACGTCGCTCACTCGAGCAGCGGCACCGAAGGCGCCGCTTTAGCGAACTCCGAGGAAATAGACTCGCTTATCGGCGCTCTACAGAGTTCAATGAACACGGTGCGGGAGGCGGCACTTTGGGCCCTCATGATTATTCGAGACGCCTTCCCTACGAATAAAGAGAATTCCGAGCAGCTCGTCAACTTAACTAGAAGGATCTGGATAGCCAGATTCGATGACAGTGAGGAGAACAAAAAACTCGCCGATGAACTCTGGACCAAAGCTGGTACGGGCTTCCTCTGTCACTCATCCTCCCGCACTCTCCCTTCCCTTACCACAAACGTCAATTCAATTTTGTCTGCATAACGCGTAATGCGTAATGCGTAGGCAAGTTTAGTAATGAGCGATGCGGCCATTCAATATTTTCATTTCGTTCGTCAAAAAAGAGAAAGATATTAAGTTGTTGTTGTTTTTTTTTTTTTTTTTTTTTTCCCCCGATGATGATTAATTTCAATTTATCTGGCCTCGCGAACTCCAATCATTCATTCCGAGATAATACATTTACAATATTTACATTTTATTTTCTTCGAATGAACAAAGTACTCGACATATCAATCAAGTTGACCAATCAATCAAATTGGCCGTATACGGCAAAGTGCATTGACATTTACTACCACAAGTTTACCTTTGTTTATCAAAACACACAGATCTCGAAGCCAACCCGGACATTCTCAGCGATCTGCTGGTCGAGGACATTGGTCACCCGGTGGATTCGGTGCAGCAGGCGGCAGCCCGCGCCCTCGCGCATACCCTCGCGGAAAAGCCGCGGCTCGTGCCCGCTATTCTCGATCGCCTCCTCGTCGTCTACCAGGCGAAGCTCGCCATGATTCCGCCGAAGCTCAACGACTTTGGCCGCATAATCGAGGAGCCGATCGATATCTGGGAGCCCCGTCGTGGTGTCGCACTCGCTTTCACCCAATTCGCAGTCCTCCTCACCCCCGAAACCATACACACTCTTATACAATTCTTCGTCTCGACGGGTCTTGGCGATCGCAATCAAATGGTACGCAACGAGATGTTCATGGCGGCGGTCGCCGCCGTCGATCTCCACGGCAAGGATAACATAGCGTCGCTGTTGCCCGTATTCGAGGATTTTATGGATAAGGCTCCCAAGATCGAAAGCTTCGACTCC